AGTTGATTCGCTCTTCTCTTTAGCTTTTTGTAACAGTTTCAGCTTCTCTCTTTATATTTCGCCAAGTTTCCATCTTCATCTGCTCATAAATGCGCTCCTTTCTGTTACTTTATTAATTCTCTTAACAAACCGTACTCTCCACCTTTGGTATATAACTAGTTAACAGTTTCTAAGTTTCTACTACATACATACAAACATGCTGAGTTTTAAATTTAGAATTCAGTTGCAGCGTTGCATTTTTTTTTTGTTGGTTCTAACTATTAAATATCCCTGTACTGGCTATAGTTTCGCTTAGTGCTGATGGTTTTTGTGGTCAAAAATTGTGTTATCTCTCACCCATTTTCCTTTAATCACACCAACTCTCTGTTTTGAATCCTTCACGGTACAGTTTTGAGAGCATTTAGGTTTGGGCCGCAAAGTTGAGTAGATTTAAAAATCAAATCTTAATTTAAGCTCTTCATATTTTTGATACCAACATTACTCGAAGTATTCTTTTCTATATTACCGCTATTACTTTTTAGTTCCTTGAGTTGCATTCATTTCCCAACTGCTTACTCTACTGCAGTTTCTAAGTGCCCTTGATTGTATCTCTCACTCTTTCTCTCATTTGTTATAATCTCTCTAACGCCACTAAAAAAAAAAATTCTCTCTTATCAGTACACCTCAAACCTTTTTTAGAGCATTTGCACATTCATATGAGCGTTCCTCTTTACGCCCTCTCTCTAACGCCACTAAAAAAAAAAATTCTCTCTTATCAGTACACCTCAAACCTTTTTTAGAGTATTTGCTCATTCATATGAGCGTTCCTCTTTACGCCCTTCCTACTACCCATTATATTTCCTAAACTCACTCTTTCTTAATTTAAAAACTCTTGCCCGCCTCATGTATTCTCTTGCGTCGACTATCTCTACGCCGATATCTATCGAATATGCGACTGCGATGTCGTTCGGGACACAAAGCCTCCGGCGAACTATCAACTTTTTTCATAACAATACGAAAAGTGAATGTGTGTTTGGGTGAAGCACTCGCCGCTCGGCGTGGTGATGGTGGCTCAAACTCGCTACCGCTTGAGAAACCCGCAGTCACAACACCGCCACCCCCGACTACTGGACATGGTGTGCCATTGCCATAACCTGACGGTGTGGACATTGAACCAGTTGAAAGTTGTTGTGTCAACACCGAACTGGGTCGTGGCTCAAATATCGAAGCACAACGTTGATCGGTACAGAGAAAGGTTTTCACCTCTTCCTCACGTTGTTTGATAGTGAGCGGAAAATGTTTTTTTGTCGGATCGGCAAAGGGGCTGCGCTGCGGTTCGTGGTGATTGGGAGCTGAATGTGGATAGGAGGAGCTGGAGTCGTAACTATCACGTGAACTGTAGTTCGATGAAGTCTGATTGGAGAGTGGACTACGTGCACGCGAGAAGGCACTGAAGGGTGAAATGCGTAGAGCACGTAGGGTTTCGGGTTTTTGTTTCTTATTTACAGGGAAATTGGGCGAACGTGCCGGTGTCATGCCACTCGCATCGGAGGGCGTATAATCAAAGTGTGTTTCCAGCGAAGACTTGCGTCCACATGAATAGCCACTACGTTGAAAGGTCTCCGCATCGACTAGTTCGATGGAGGATTTGCGCAAGTCAATATTCGATTTCTTCTTATCGTCCATATCTACAATCTCAAAGCTGGAAGTTTGATCTTCATAGCTGGTGGATTGATAACGCGAGATGTCAAAACTAGTATCACGCGATGAATAGGGACAATCGAAACTAGATTCAGCGCGACTTGATTTCCGATCGCCCTCAACCATTTCAAAACTATCACCACCCGAGTCGAGGCGCTGCAAGTTTATCAAATCATTGTCGGTGTCAGCGCCGGGACTACGCAAATTCTCTAGAAATGGCGAACGTGGCGGATCGAAAGAGGAACGCCGTGAAGGCGGTTCAAACTCGATAATCGGACATTGCAGTGGCGACTTTTCAGCCGTAATACTCGTTTCGGTAGCCTTGGCAAGTGCTTGTGCAGCAGCCGCCTCGGCCTCTTCAGTTTCGCGGCGTAACACTTGCAAATTTACATAAATTGGTTCTGGTGGATAGGCTTTTATGATTTCGGTTAGCTCAGTACGGAAATCCTCTGGAATTACAAGATCATTCGAGTCGGATTCCCGTTCTTCGCTTATACGCGGCTCAATGGGCTCACGACTTTCGGAGCGTCGCTGAAAGTGATGTGTGATTTGTGTGTTCTCATTTGACAACGAGACTACTTTGAGCGAATTTGTGATCTCCTCTACCAAACTGGTGACTATCGTGTCGGTTGTGGTGCCGGCTTCATCTACATACTCCTCTTCGTGTATTTTCTCGTGCTTAATATACGACTCACCGACCTTCTCGAAATGCACATTCGCCAACTCGAATGGCAGTTCGCCGAGCGGTGATGCACGTCCAGAGCCGGCACCACCGCCGAAACTGCCACCGGCGCGACCTACCTGTGCATCGTGTGGATCCAAACCGCAGCCACCGCCGCCGCTGCTGCTGAAGTTTGAGTCGGCACTGGCACGTTTCGATGTGCTCGCTGAAGCTGCTTGCTTCGCCTTATCGTCGTTGGCAGATCGACGTAGTTTCAGTGACATTTTAGCGTAGTGTGCGAATTTCAATGACATCTTCGGTTCGAATGCAACTTCAGACATTTGCTTTACCACCGCACTTTTAGCCGCCGTCGATGATGCGGCCGGACTGGCCGAGAATGTGCTCTGTCTAATTAGCGGTCCCGATGATGAGCCCGACTCGGCGCGTGTAAAAGCATTTGCAAAACGATTTGTGCGCGTTGATATATGCTTCGACGGCTTACGCACAAAGGCGAGTATTTCTTTCATCACGCTCGTACGCTCCTTCTTCTCAGGTGTTGCCTCCTTTGCGGCGGCCGCAGCCGCTTCTTGTTCTTCGCGTTGCCGCTCAAGTTCCTGTGCTGCTTCTGCTGCCGCATTGGACTCGGCAATCTTTTCAGCTAATCTACCCGTTTCCGTGGGGTTGGAAACAGTGATTGGTGGTATTGGCATCGCAGTAATGGGACTACGCTTGTCACCGCTGAAGTAGATGGGTGTGAAGAGATTGATTGATGGACGCTTTATACCGCTGCTGGATCGCACCATGCCATTCTCATTCGTCTCTCCCTCGCCAAAGTGTGCACCCTGCACATGTACGGTGGAGGTGGGACTGCGTCGCGGTTGTCCAAATTCTATTGGTGCCGCAGCGCCGATGGGTGAACGCCGCTCCTGTGTGTGCATGCTGAGTGTTGGACTACGTGCACCACCCGTAGGACTACGCGCTGTTGGACTATGTATACCCAAACCAAACATGGGCTGTACGGGCAATTCATTCGGTGACTTCAGGCGATCACTTGACATAATCAATGGGCTACGGCGTCCTTGCGGACTGCGGTCATTGAAGCCCACGGGACTGCGCCGACCTTGCACCAGCACCAGTGAACCGGTCATGCTGCTCTTGCGACGATGCGATGCACGTAGCGTGCCCTGTCGGGATAGTGTTGTAGGCGTTTTCTGCGAAGTACTGCCGGGACTTTTCGATTCCGATTGTGGTAGTATGGGACTCTTTGGTGTAAGTGGACTGCGTTTCTTATCATTGGCCGCCAATTGGGCGGTGTTCAGTGTTAGGTTGGCCGCTTGACCGAAAATGGGTGCGGTATTTGGGCTGCGGCGCTCAGATGGGCTGCGTCGGGTGCGGAAACTCTGAGATTTGGCTTTGCGAATTTTCGGTAATGATTGATGATGCCTGTGACGGCCGTGCGAGGATGAATGGTGGGTGGAGGAGGAGGAGGGACCGTTCAACTTATGTTAGTTGCTGTTGTGCGGGCCGCTGGTGGGATCGCTGCTGCCGCTTGAGCTTAATGTTGTATTCGAACCGTAGGGGTCCAAGGAACTCTGTACGGACATCGATCTGCCTTGATTTTGGCGTGCACGCCTCACTCGACTAGAGTTGGGAGACAGCTTTCCGGGGTCGATGCTTTCTGGGTCTGCCTGCAAATGTTAGAATCAGACATAAAGGGGGGACAAAAGGGGTAGTGGAACGACAACAGCACACACACGCACACACGTACAGGAATTGAACGTTCCCGTTTGGTGCGCCAATGCCGTTTAACACATTTTTATATTTTAGTAAATCATACTATATGTATATTGCAGACGAATTTGAAGCGCCGAAAGCAAAACATATTGCCGCAGCGCGCACTTACCTGATAAGCCAAAGCATTCATAATGATCGAATATGGCACCAAACCCAACGGATGTATCTCGCGCATCAGCACATTCGCGGGTATCTTATGAAATTGAATGTACTCCAGAAAGTTGCCCAAAATCTCCTTCATATCGATATTCTGCCGAGACACAAGCAAGTTAGACGCTACACCTACGAGTCGAGCTCGCTCCAACTCACCTGATTGTTGTCGAAATATTTCTTGCTCCACATCAACGCTGCCTGAAACTTAGTAAACTCATCGGCACGCAACTCCTCACGCGCCAAAATCAGACGCACTACATGCTGTGGCAACAACGTAAAGCTGCCCAAATTGAGCACCTCATTGCCATGCTCATCCACAAATTCCAGCACCTTTTGTACCAAACTCTTTGTGCATTTGTATTGAATGTAGCGCTCCGCAGAGGCCAGCAGCGCACAGACAGTGTCCACGTTGATGCAACACTGTACGAAGCCAGCGCAAGCGCGACGCAACTCCTCCAAGCCGTAGTAGTCAGCTGCATTCATAACACCTGTGGAGGGGAAGAGAGAGTGAGAGACAGAGCAAACGTCAACGTGTAAAGACTCTCACTAACCTAAAAGTGTCCGCGGCTGCAATGTCACACACCCTGTATGTATGTACTCTATCAGTTGCCTGAAAACATCCGGTTCGAATTCCTCAATAATCAATGTTTGATGTTGTTGTCCAGCGGGCTAAAATTAGTGATGAAAGAAGGAAATTAAATTTAAAATATTTCCGCTTGCATTCGGACTGCCAATACATGTAAATATTGAAAGCGAGCGTGTCTATTAGAGGTTATGAGATTTATGCAGATAAAGATAAAATTGTGTATAAGTATACGAGTAGACACCGTTAGACATCGATATTTTTGGGAAAATTTGAAATATATTGAAATTAGGTGGAGAAGTAAATATGAAATTAAATATAAAAATATAAAAAATTAAAAATTAATTCATTTATTTAATACTTTTTATTACTTTTAATTTAATTTTCTAAACGATTTCTTATTTATTTCTTATTTTTTTCACTTTTAAATAAATTTTAATGAAAATAATTCTCGTTATATCAATGAAATTTTAAATGCCACTAAAATTATAATCTCATGCATATTCAGCACATATTTGCGCGCAGTTTATACGCTGCATTTGCATAGCATAGATATCCATTATCATATAATATCAGAATATCAGAACACACATACTTTCACAAGCTTTCCATTTCCATTTCCTACTTTATACAAAGCACCACACTTAGTCGCTCAAAAACCATCAAATGAATATTATTATATATATAACATATCTATGTATATATATTTATACATATATTTATGATGTAATCACAACACCAAACACTTTCACAATCACACAAAGTAGGATAAATGAGTGGAAGAGGCATGCAAAAATTGTATATGTATATATATATATATGTATTGTAAAATAAATTTATTTTAGGTTATGAAGAGCTCTTCGCAGGCGAGTTGAAATAGCGAGCGTTTTGAAAGTATTTGCTAAATTAATTATATTTCTGTCTCCGTTTTTTTTTTTGCACTTAATATTATTTAAAAGATATTCTCAATTAAATCAAATATATAAAATAATGTATTATAAACACAATATGTAAAAAAAAATTCTTTATACATCTGAATATTTCTATATTTAATTTTCCTTTTTTTAGTTTAATTTACATTTAATTTTATTTCAATTAATTTCACCTTAATTTAATTTATAATATTTTATTTCATCCATTTATTCCAGTTTTTAGTATAAATGTAACCAATTTTGATAAATTTTATTAAATTTTTTTTATAATATATTATTTCATCTATTATTTCATTTATTTATTCTAGTTTTTAGTATAAAATTATTTGATTTTGATATTTTTTATTTTATTTAACTTTTTTATTTCATATAATTTTAGTTTACTTTAATTTATTTATTATTTTATATTTTCTTTTAATTTTTCTATTACGTATCAACAATTTTTATTTTTTCTTTTTATTTTATTTTATTTTATTTTATTTTATTTTATTTTATTTTATTTTATTTTATTTTATTTTATTTTATTTTATTTTATTTTATTTTATTTTATTTTATTTTATTTTATTTTATTTTATCTTGCTTTATTTTACTTTTTTAATAATATTTTTTTATTTATTTTTATATTATTTTATTTTGTTTTATTTACGTTAATTTTAATTTAGTTTATTTATTTGATTTTATTTTATTTTGTTTTATTTTATTTTATTTTATTTTATTTATTTTTATTTTTATTTTTATTTTTATTTTATTTTATGTTATTTTTACGGTTTATCTTTTTTTATTTTTGTTTTATTTTATTTTTATATTTCTTATTTATTTTATTTTATTTTTATATTTATCATTTATTTTATTTTATTTCATTTTATTTTTTATTTTTAAAGTATTTATTTTAACTTTCTTTATAAACGATATTTCGTATTATTTATGATTTAATGAATATATATCTATATATTATTATGCTTTCATTTTTTAAACTCATTTATTTTAATTTATTTTGCTTATTCTATTTCACTTTACTATATTTACTTTCATTTTTTCGGTGTTTTTTTTTTAATTTATGTTTTTTTATTTCCTTTTTCATTATTTTTTTTAATCTATTGTGTCTTATAATATTGTCTTATTATACCTAGATATAATTAAATATATATTTTATAAATATCCTATTTTTATTTAGTTTTTGTAAATTTGAGTTGTTTTGTTTTTATGTATTTTATTAACTTTTTAATTTATTTTAAATTATTATATTTCATTTTGTTTTTTTTTTTTAGTTTTCGATTTATTTAACTTGTCTACATTCAATTTCTTTTTTCGGCTTGTTCTTATTTCCTTTTTGTTCTTATTTCCTTTATTTATTTTATTTTATTTATATTTTTTATTTATATTATTTTGCTTTATTTAATTTTATTTCGTTTTATTTAATGTTTTTTATTTATTAATTTATTATTATTATTATTTGACAACTGTTTTCATTTCTCGATTTATCGTATTTTCTTTCATATAATTTTTGATTAATTTTATGTGTTTTATAATATTTATATTTTATATTTTTCTTCTAATTTGTTTTATATTATTTTATTTTGCTTTATTTAATTTTTGTTGAATTTAATATTTCGTTAATTTATTTCTCTACTTTCTTTAATTTTCGGTTTATCTTATTTTTCTTAATTTTATTTGAATTAAATTTGTATTATTTTTTATTTTTCTTTATTTTACCTGAATATATATTATGAATTTTATTATATTATTTTAACTTTTTATTGTATTAGTTTATTTTATAAGAAAATATAATAATTCTTTTATTTTACTTTATTTTATTTGACTTTGATTTATTTTAATTTTAAATATTTTATTTTGTTTCTGTTGAAATATAACCCTAATAGCAACTAACATATTATGCAAACCTGTAATGTTTTTGAAATAACTGAAACCGAAAACATTTAGTCAGTCCTTCATTTCTAACTGTTGAATAAATACTTATACTTATTATACTGAATTGCATAGAAGCAAGCGTGTTTTACTTGGAACCCGAAAAGTAGCAGAGTAAAAATTCAACAGTTTCATATTATTTTTTTTTATTTTATTTAAATTACTTTAGTGTTTTTATTTTATTTTATAATATATAAAAGTGTTTAATGTGTTCTTCTTTTTTATTTAATTCTCGTTTATGTCATTTTCAATTACTTTTTTGCCTTTTTTTAGTTATTTAACTTTTATTTAATATTTTCTTTTTGGTTTGTCTTATTTTTTGTTATTTTATTTTATTGCATATCTGATCATAATATTTATTTATTTTTTTTATTTTATTTCACTTTTTCATTTTTTTTTATTTAATTTGTTTTATTTTTCTTTATTTAATTATTGAGTTATTTAATTTTCGTTGATTTATTTTTTTATTTCATTTTCGGCTTATCTAACTTTTCCTTATTTAATTAGCTTTTTGGTTTATATTAGTAATTTAATTTAATTTTATTTTGTTTTAATATAAAATTTTTATTTTATTTTATTTTATTTCTTTTCTTTATTTTCTCTTATTTATCTTAATTTTTATTTACTTTGATTTATCTTATTTTTAATTGACTTACTTTGTTCCCTGTTTTTGTTTTATTTTATTTTCGGCTTATCTTATTTTTTTTAATTTAATTAGTTTTTTGGTGATATTAGTAATTTTATTTAATTTTTATAAATTTTATTTATTTTATTTGATTTTATTTTGTTTTAATTATTTTATTTTATTAAATTTTATATTTATATTTTATTTTGTTTTATCTGATTTTGTGTTAAATTATTTTTGTTTATGTTATTTTATTTGTATATATTTTTATTATATTTTTTTTTTGTTTATTATAATATATTTTATTTTTTTCTTTTGCTTACTTACTTTTCATTTTATTTTAGTTTATGTTTTATATAATTTTGTTTTTATTTTCTTTTATTATTATCTATTTTATTTTATATTATTTTTGTATTCAATCTTAGCGATATGAAAAATGACATTATTAAAAATATATACAATGAGCTAAATCACAATGCAGACCAATTCTTATCTACTATGTATAAGCTTTCCCACAGTTCTATTTAAGAGGCCAATAATTAGTTGGAATGAAATAAAAAAATAATAAGAGAAATGATGATACAGCAATTTGGTAGGCAAACAGTTATAGTAAATAGAAAGTAGATTTATTAAAAAAAAATATGTCTAATAGTTTTAATCAAATTTTAGATTTCAGTCTTTTTATAAAAATTTTACCTCAGGTATCGGAGCTAATTGTTGGGTGAAACCACTTCTCTAATAAACCAAGTGTAAATTTAAAAAATAAAAACAAAAAGAAACAACTTACATTAAAAATGCACGTATTTTATATGTATATGTATATATACAATAAATATGTATATTTGTAATATTTCCATGAGCATATGTATATATTCATAACTAACTACTGTTGTACTTATGTACAACAAACCTATTAAAGAACACTGTCGATCAGTAATTTATACATTTTCTTATCAGAAATGTATGTTTGTTGGAATATATACATATTCACATGTATTTGTTTATTTTGTTTATGAATTTTGAACAAATAATTAGTATATATACATAATGGTTGGTTATATCTTTATATATTGGTAAGTTAGTCTTTTCTAGAGGGTACACTGAGTGGGGAAAATAATACAGGGATTTATTTGAAAACACATACAATTATATATTCCGTAAATTGTTTAATAAAAACTAACAAATCAACCAACAATTTTCACAAAGGAAAGGGACAAATATTGTTAAAAATTTTTTCTTCACTTGGAAGTAAGCTTCCCGTAGTAATGGTAGCCAAGCAACATCTATTCAGAGATTTAGAAAAGAAACTCACCACATAGAAATGGCTCCAAAAGCAAGTGATGCCCTAAAAACCTTGAATGAAATCTCTATTTCTAATGGAGTTGGTGAAGGCTATCCAGAACTATAAAATACGTGTATAAAGAAACTCACTTCGGCTAAAGTCTACAAAGGGGAGTGTCATTAAGCTTAACTTTCTGACAAACCTAAACTAAGTGAAAAATATGTGACTTATAAGCATTTACCTACTGCTGACTGTTACAAACATACAAGTGAGATTCTTCTTAAATGTCGTTCTAAGAATCCAAGTCTCAGACCGGAAGCCCGAGTTACCTTAGCTATGTAATCTTGACTCAAGTGAAATTTTGAGATTGTAGTCAGACTCAATTTTAACAACCAGATGTATATCTTTTAGGTTAACAAAGGTCACCGCTGGAAACTAACAAACTCTTAGCGTGCACACTTGAACTAAGCCTTCGAGTACCACATTTCTAATGCTGGAATTATTTCATCTACCCGGCCGGTATCTTAGCCACTGTAGCCACAGCTTTTGTTATTGTACTGCCCTGCTTAAGTACAGGCGAGAGCAGTCTAAGCCATCAAGTTCAGCTGACGAGAAATCCAGAAAATGAGGTAGGTGTGGGTTAGATGTGTAGAGGCACATAATGTGGTGATTAGTGACGTGCGGGGCTTCATTGCATGCAGGAAATACGTTCCGGGGTGTGTGTTTGAGTTGGAGTTAAGTGACTGCAGCATCCAGACTTTAATTGTGTCAGTACTACTCGGATCTCTCGCTATTTGGATTCCGAGCACACCATTCACTGGCAAAGAGTTCAAGAAGGTGTTGATGGGCACTTAGTGAATGGCGTTTAATACTTGTCGTTACGCCATCATGTCCATCATGCTGAATGGAGTCTGCTTAGTTGAGTACTCCCCTCCTGATGAGTGGAGTTCCGGCCTGCACTAAATGTCTTTCTTGGTACACCGGATTAATTTGTCTCAGCACATATTGCCTGTATGGTTCAAAATTATGCTTCTTAGCTCGTAGCATATTTATTTCGCTGAGTACGTGATGCGCCGGATGTTTCCTGTTACGGTTCTGAGGCTGCTGCCGGTTAACTATTTGAGAATTCCGTTATTGTCCTTTTCTTTCGATGCGCTGCACTTGGAGCCGAGGTTGCTGTATGTATCGTAAAGCTCACCGTTTCATCGTTACGTTAGCCAAAAAAAAAGAACACTGAAGACGATTAATTGTCCTTAAAACCTTTCTCGGATATTAGCGTCGTCCAAATCTCTGCTCCATGAAGTAAACAGTAATGATGACAGACTCATAGAGATCTGTTTTTCTGCATCGAACGACGCCGTTACATTCCTAAAAAATCACTTTCTGGTGTGTTCCGAGGGCAGAGAAGATCATAGGTGTTTACTTCTTTAAAAAATTAAACCGGCCATTGTGTTGCAGTCAATTGGGAATGTTAAAGAGCCATGCTTAAAGATTGTTTCATGCCTAAGCTCAGAGATGTTGATGTGGCCGAACTTTGGTATCAACAACACGGCATTACACAGCCATACAACCAACAAAACAAACAATTGAGTGAAGGGCCTGTAGCGTGGGCTCCAAGATCATACGATTCAACAGCGCTGGACTATTTTTTGTGAGGTTATGTAAAGTCCGTTGTCTACGCAGTTGAGCCCGAGACTATTGACGTCTTGGATTAGAATTCCGGCGCGGCATTGCCAACACACGACTCCAATTGCTGCAAAAAGTGAACAAGAAGTCCTCGCGCCTCTCTCCTGGAATTCCATGGGCATGCTTAGACCTTATTTTAATTAAATTTTGGAGACAACATATGTTTTTATGAACCCTCACATATACACTGACGTTTTATTTCCACAAAAAACAAAAGGAAAGACAAGGAAAATAATGAACGAATGAAAATCTACAAGAATCTGGGTGAGCGTGGAATGGAAAACTTTCCGGAATTTTAAAATTAATGAAATGATTTTGGGGCGGGGCTGTAACATATGTACTTACATATACACAATGGCAAAAGGACGCGTAAAAAATGCAGCGAAATACATACACTTAGGCATTAACACAAGTAGGCGCATACATACATACGTACAGCAATATGTACATTTGCCTTTGGGTTCAAATTCGCCCACACATACATACATATATTGCCAATTTTCATATAACAAAATACATAGTTTTCTAAAAAAAAAAAAATATATATATATATATATATATATATATATATGTATATCTGTATATGCCTATTTACATACGTATGCATTAAATATACATATATATACATAATAATAAATATTATGCGTAATTATAAATATATAAAGAACCCTCAACTACCAACCGACAAACTTGACGGCAGTCCCCCCTAAATCTAACGCCCAATGCTCAATCTTTAGACTCTACAAAAAAAAAAAATATAACCAACCTGTTGTGCCGCATTTTGTAAATTCAACAATGGCTCCGATGAGCGTTTCAGAAAAAGCCGCAATTTATTCTCTTTAGTCGATGCTTCTCGTTTACGTTGCGGCGATGGTGCCGAGTAGAGCATTTTGGCGAAAACGCGAGAGCGTGATGCCAAAACGGCCTGTCGAAAAGAGTGAAAAAAAACAACAATGCGGCGAAAGAGAGCGATTAAATGCTTTTTTAACCCTTAAGTGGCTCGTTTAACTCACCTTCACCGCGCAAACCGGTTCGCGCGTATCACCAACTAGAAACGTAACATCACATAATTCTGGCATTGAGGCCAGAAATTTCATATCCTCGGCCAAGCCGGTCTTATTCTCGAACGTTGACAAATCTGGCTCCGCATCAGCCATGCCGGGCAGTGTCAAAGCTTCGGGCATTTGGGTTTTCTGTGGGTTAAATAGATCAAAAAATTATTAAATAAAAATTAATAAAAGGAAATTGATAAATAAAATAATTATTAAACATTTTAAAATTAAAATTTTAAATATATTTTCGTTAAAAACTTCAAAAATCAATGGTAATTATTTTTGGTTTTTTTTTTTAATTATTTAATAAATATAAAAAAAATATTTTCTAAAAAATAAAAAAATTAAAAATTTTGAAAAATAAAAATTATTTTATTACGAAATGCTGAAATTTATATTTTGTTTGATTAATTTTTTAATAAGAGATATTTATATTTTTTTATTTAATTTTTTAATCATAAAAAAATTATTAAAAAATTTTATTCATCGCACATTATTGATTTAATAATTTAAAAATTAGTCATGCAAAAAAAATATTTTTTTTGCATAAGTATGCTGATGCTAAAACATTTCGAACCAGCGGGGACAGATTACCCCACGAAGATTCTCAAACAGTTTTTAAAAAAATTTATGCATGTATGTATATTTTCAAAATACATTTAAACAAAACAGATAGCTTGGAGGTTTATTCAAAAGTGCAAAAATATGTTTTTCATTCATTTCTTATATTAAACTCTACACCAATGACAGGAAGAGCACAGCTCTCCTCCATAAAATTGAGTTCTATTTACTCCTCTGCAGCATATACTGATATATTTTAACGGCAAAGTTCAATAAGATGCCATATCTACCTCTACTGTGCTAAAAAGACGAGTCAAGTTCGTGCTGATAATCTAAGCAAACATATCTCTCGATGAAGAGAGTGGAAACTCTATAATTTGCTCTGACGTCGCTTACAACAAACGACCTGGCAGTTTAGGAGCTTTCGTAAAAAAATTGTATAAAGCATTAACAGAGAGTGACTTTTTGAGGATCTAACGCAGTTTGGGAGTTTACAAATCAAGAACCTTTCGAAAAATCTTTCCGGATACAGCTCCAAGCCGAGTGTAAATCGAGTAACAAAAAAACCAATTCAGAATTTGAAATCACGCATATCTAAAAAGCTCTTTCACTGCCAACTCGTTTGTTGTTAGCGGTTTCAGAGCAAATTATAGAGTTCGGTGTCTCTTCATCGATGGATATGATCCTCTTAAGGTTTGGACAATTTGCGCTTCCACGCTGTGTTCTACCAAGCTGCCGCCTTATTTAAATATCTCAGCCGACAAAACATCGATTTACGTTGCTCTGGAATCTTTTAAGTATGAATTGAGATTCGGAAATCGTTTTAATGGGATTATTGTTTATTATTTCCTGATCTTCGAATGAGATTTCCGTGGAGTCGTAATTACTCAGGGTGTATTGGCCTTACTATTTGCAGAAGCTCCAGTGAGTTTTTTAATATTTTCTCAATGTTTCTTAGAGGGACATACATATTTATATATGTATATGTATGTCACCTTCACATAGAAATGGAAGAGCAGGAAATTTTCATTGACACCACCCATGGTCTGAACAAACACATATAAGGGCATACACATACATATTATATAAGCCATAAAGGCCATATTACAAATATATTTACATACATACACAGGTACTAGGTACATAGTTAAATCTGTGTAAAGTTAATTACATTGCTTCGACAGGCAGGTAAATAATATAAACAGAATATTTGCTTGTTAGCGTGTAAAACCACTACTCTCTCCTTGATTGTGCCAAGCTCCTTGAAACATGATGCTGTTATTTTGTTCGAATAACTTTGTATCAGAGTAATTAATCAATGGCAGTGAATTAAAGGTCAAACATTTAGACAGAATGTATGTTGTTTGCATGTAAGGTGAGCCAGTCTGGAATGTAAAGGAAATAAAATAAAAGCCGACGGATTGGGATTCTAAGAGTACAAGGACGGCATTGAAAACCCTGATGACCACCAGGCGCAACTTCATACTTAGAACCGACCCCGGTAAGCTCCTCATCAAGTTTGTCAATGAGGAGATTCGTCGTAAGGTTGACCAGCACAAGCGAAATTAGTGGAAGGAGGACTTGTAGTCTCTCTCTCTCTCATCTGGGTCAAGCAAACTACAGTAAATAATCAAGTCATTGTCTAATCCAACGAGTTGCGATGGCCGGTGCCCGTGCCTCGTTGGATCCGAAAAAACTTCGGTTAAAGTATATGAAAAGGGAAGTGACCCGCCAGACACCAGCAAGGTGCTTGATTTCTCCTCGGAAGATTGTTGAAGAGGTTATTGGGAAAGTTGAAAACTTCCAAATTTTACGGTCTCGATGGCATAAGTATGCTGATGCTAAAACATTTATAATCAGCGGGAGCACATTACTCCACGTAGTTTCTCAATATGTCTTTATGTGGAAAATGCGTAGACAACTAGACAGTCCCTGGTTTTAGCCCAAAACCGACCATGCACGCGAAGCGTCTTAGTAACATTGGATTTGGCAAAAGCTTTCTAGACCGGTATACACTTAGTGCTACTTTCGAGCATCAAGGGCTTCCCATTACCTTCGGGGCTAAAGAGTTAAACTATAGGTTACCAAAGTGGTCGACACCTATTAGTACAGTTTCGAGGTCAAACGTTTAAAGGTAAGTTTTCACAAGATGTTGCGGGAGATGTCATCTCCCCGATTCAGTGTAATTTCTTCATAACAAAACTCTCTCCTCCAGCAGAGGTCGTTCCCTTGATTTCATATGACCTGCAGAAGGAGTACCGGCTCGAACTCGATATGAACGTTGATGGTGTAAGAATTTCGCCAAGTAAAAGTTCAAAGTTATTGGGAGTCATATTCGATAGCCTGCACTTCTCCACTCGGCGTACGACTGATGCAGATTAAGAAGCTGCAAGCAACCCTGTGAGGAAGCCTCCTGATCTCACTGGAACATAACTTGAACAGTGAAAGATCTATGCTACGAGTTAAGGAGCATTATTCCAAGCTAAGAAAGCAATATCTGCTGAGATAATGCCACCTGTAACACCGCAACAGACATTTATTTGAGGCTGAAGCACTACCTAGACACATCAGAAAATGAATACTCGACTGCATAGACTTCATTCAGCACCATATACTGGAACCGTTAGCGAAGACGGCTTAAGGACAGACTGTAAATGACATTCACCGAGAGTCTATCAAAAACTTATTGAACTCTCTGCTATTGAACAGTGTTCTCGGAATCCAAGCACCATTTGACGCGGACGGAAAGCTCGAGCTGCCTCGAAGTGGCACAATTAAGCTCGGGATATTGTAATCGATCATGATTCTTACGTAGCCAGACTTGCCTGTGACATGCCCAACGTATGTATTGAATACAATAAGACCCCGCACGAGAATAGCTACCTCTTAGCAAGCCTTCTTTTTGGCCGAAATTTTTTGTTTTACATCAAATTACATTTACATTAAAAAAACACAAAATATTTTTTTCCTTTTTTTTCATTTTTGTATTTTTCTTATGTATATAATTTAATTATTTTTTTTCTTTCTTTGAAAAAAAAAAAAACTCCTCTCCTTTTCCATCTACACACTTACCTCTATTAGTTAATTCGCTAGCAACACACACACACACACTATTGTTGTTGTTGTTACTGCGCTTCCTTCGTTTGTTTTAAAAATTTACTGATATAATTTTTTAACGGATTCTAGCGAATTTGCCAAAATCCGTTATATTTTGAATTTCATATCATTTTGTTTTAAATTTCACAAACATTTTGAAAAACATTTTGAATCTTTTTTTTTATATATTGAACACTTCTTTTTTAAAAATATTAACAATTTATTACTTATGTATGTATGTATATACAAACAGGCAAACAAATTTATTATATAAAGTTGGAGAAATACTTGAACGGGAGAATATACGGAATAAACGTTAGTACGTAGAATTAACAAATGCGGAGGGATGTCTTTAAAAAAGTTTATATATTTAATTAAAAATTTAAATTTTTTATTAAAAGTTAAAAAATTTAGTACGAAAGACTTATAAGAAAAAATTACAGTTAAATATTTAAGAAAAAAATGTAAGCAAAATTGGGAAAATTTATTATAAAAATAAAAAGAGATACATTCTATTTTTGGGTTGGTGGTGGTTGCATGATTGAGGTGGTGTTGCACAGGGGTGGTGCGGGTGGTTTAAATATGGTGCAAGAGCGGCGAAGTAAGTTTGGTTTAATTTTTATATTTTTCTTTTAATTTATTATTTTTTAATTTATTTTCTTTTAATTTTAATGTTTTATTTTAAATTATTTATTTTTTTAGTTTTAATCTTTTAATTATTTTTATTTAACTTATTACTTTATTTTACTATTTATTTTATTAGGATTTTTTTTTAATAATTATAGTTTTCTTAATGTTTTAAGCTTTTATTTAAAATATAAGTACTATTTTTTTAATATATTTTAACTATTTATTTTAGCTTTGTATTTTAATATTTTTGTTTATCATTTTTTTTATTAGATATTCTTCTTTATTTTTTAAATTTTTTTGTTTTTAATTAGTTATTTTTTATGTTTTTTAGTTGTAAAATTTTTACTTTTCTATTAATTCTTAATTTTCATGTTTTTACCAATATTTTTAACATTTTGTAGTATTTTTTTACAACTTCATTATTTTATAAATTTTTTTTTTTTTATTTAATTATTTCCTTATTTTTTTTTATTTTTTGTTTTTTTCAAATTCAAAAACTAAAAAATAAATAAATAATATATAAAAATATAAATTTTTTTCTTTTTTTTCTTAATTTAATTATTTACTTATTTTTTTTATTTTTTGTTTTTTCAAATTCAAAAACTAAAAAAAAAAAATTATAAAAATAAATAGTTTTTTTCTTTTATTTTTTTAACTTTAATTCTTTATTTATTTATTTTTATTTTTTGCTTTCTCAATTTCAAAAACTAAAAAATAAATAAATGAAATTTAAAAAAATTATTAAGAAATATAAGAAAATAATATATCTATTTAATTTTTTTGTGGTTTTGTATTTGTTTTTTCAATATGTTTGAATTCTTATTTTAGTTTATTATTTTTTTTTTAATTTAAATCTATTTTTTGTTATTTTTTAATTCATTTATTTTAATATTTAGAGTTTTCTAAATTTTTTCAATTTTAAGTTTAAGTTTACGTTCTTATTCATTTAATATTTTTTCTAATTCCATATTTTAGTATTTTAAATAAAATATTTTAACCTTTTGTTTTTTATTTATTTTGAATCAGAAACTCTTTTTTATTTATTACTTTATTTTGTTTTTTCTTTAATTGGTTACTTTTAATGTTTTTTAGTTTTAAATTTTTTTTATTATTCTTAATACCATTGTTTTATTAATTTTTAAACCTTTTGTAAAATTTTTTATACTACTTCATTATTTTCAAATTTTTTGTTTTTTTTTTTAAATTATTTATATTCTTTTTAATTTTTTATTCTATTTTCTTTTATCATTTATTTTTTTTATGTTACACATATATATTTGTATTACACATTTTTTTGGCGTTTTATATTTGTTTTTTTATAGTGTCAATATTTTTAAATTTTATTTTTATTTTGCTTTATTATTTTCTTATTTATTTGAATCTATTTTTAATTATATTTTGTGTTTTTTATATTCTAAATATTTTATATATAAAAATAATTTATTGCTGCTTTTTTGTTAATTTTTTATTCATTAATTTATTATTTAATTTGTTTTTTAATTTCTATTTTTCTTTTAAATTTTCTTTTGGTTTTATATTTTTTAATTTTTATTTTAATTTTCTTATTCTAGTTTTAAGTGCTATGCTGTTTTCTATTTTTTTAATAAATTATTTTTTATTTATTATTTTATTTGTTTATTAAAAATTATATAATTAGTTGTTTTTTTATTTTTAAACTTTTTATTTGTTTATTTATTATTAATTTTTAATTATTATTTTATCTTTTTGTATCATATTTTATGCTAATTCAATACTTTTTAAATTTTAATTCTATATTTTTTAAAATCATTTGTTTTATTATTTTTTTTTCAATTTTTTGTTTAACTTTTTTAATCTTTATTTTTTATTTTTGTTTATTTACTTATCGTTTTGCATTAGTTTTTTTTAGATTCAATATTTTTAAATTCTTATTTTTTATATTTTTATTTATTTTTTTTTTTTATATTTTTTTATTAAATTCAAATTAATTTTAAATTTTGGTATATTATTTTTTAATGTTTTTTATTCCTTTATTTAATAATTTTTCCTTCTTTAATATTTTTTAATTTCTGGTTTTAATTTAATTAAAGTTGCTTTTTTTTCTCTTTAAATATTGTGTCTTTTAATTTTCTTTTAAAAGGAATTGATAAAGAATTGCAAAGTCACATGGGAAAAGTTAAGACATTTTTTTAAATATAAAGTGTAAAGGGAATTATTTTCTGTGTGCTGGATATTCACTTCAAAGGCATTAGCATATGTTTACAAAATTTTTTACATACATACATACATACACAACATTACATAATCGATCGAATTGAATTCTCTGAGTGTCAAGTGTGTATACAAAAATTTCATTTCATTCTTCATATACATACATACATATTGTTTGTATGCCAAAATAGATACACAAAATTAAACGTAAATACAGTACATGAGTATACAGGTATATAGCGTATATAGTATACTTAAATATTTAAGGAAAAAGGTTTGTAACGCATGAAAGTGTATTTTTGTATTCATTCGTGTAATACTGACCCATTGCGTTGATTTTGTGAATAACTTTTTGTTTGGCTTTAATCTACTAAGCCACAGAAGAGCTGAGCACAGGTACATATTTTCACATATATTGTATGTATATGTACTATTTACATATAAAATATTCCAAAGCAGACTCATGGAAGTGGATATGTCAAGATTTTTAAAAAGTTCAGGGAGCCCTATCAAATCAAATCTTGTATATGCTTTATATTCCAGTAAAAAAAAAAAACTAAGAAAAATTATTAAATTTCCCTCACATTCTTTTTCTCATACTCAATGCCTGTTAGAAGTAGCGTAGAGCGCCTTATCTTCTTCCCATGAATATTGATTGATGAGTGGAAATTGGATGAGTTCATTCGATATATCAAAATGCAATTAGCATGTCTTGAGGTTTTCGTCCTCTCCGAATCATTAATCGCTTTAAAGTAATAATAAATCAGGCTTTCTCGGTAGAGCACCCAAGCCGCATCGCACTTTTCTGCAAAGTCATTGCGTTTTAGATTCAAATTAACGTTTGGAGTTATACTTTTTAGCACTCGGAGATTTGTTCTAATACCAAATTTCGAGCATACGAAAGCGCCATTCTCAAGTCATGACCTCTAGATGATAATACAATACAAGTAGCAGTTGCAATCATCGCGAGAGCTCCTGCAAGACTCATCGAGTTGACTTTTGTTAAAATGATCTAACAAATGCTGGGAGAGAGAGGATTTACTACTACGTATGTGCTCGATTAACGTCTTGAGTAAATTTCCAAGAATCAAAATTATTCCATTTCTTTAGGTATATCATCGTATTTATTATTTTCCAAATAAATCGACGCACTTCCCGCAGAAAAAAAGAATTTTCTACATATACAACTTTTTCTAATAGATTGGTCTCTAGTTCAGTAGTCTTTCTGCTAAACAAAGCAAAAAATAACTCAAACACCGTGTTTCTTGTAAGCCGAACCATAAATAAGGTTTTTCTGAATGGGTCAGGTTTTCTCGTACAAACTTCTCCAGGACTCATAGAAGAGAAATCAAACAAAATTTTAAGTTAATCGGTGTTTAATTTTTCGAGATCATTATGCCTCTCTCATAGAAACCCCTATCACTAGGAAATATAGGGACAATCAATTTTTTACAGGCTTCACTTAAAACCAATCCTTCTTCAACCAAATCATTCCTCCCAGATAGCTAACAACCAACCTTTCAAGGTTTCTATCGATGCTGCTATCACTGCATCTGGTCTAGTGTTGTCCTGATGAACAAACAAAATTCCCTCCCGTCGGCCACAATTGGACGCTGCTGTGCGATTTCTTCATTCAGTTGGTCCAATTGCTCGCTATGCAGATCCAAATTAAGAGTTTGAGTTTCTTGTCAATCTCACCAAATGCACAACAAACCCCTTGTGTTTGGAGAGCATTTGTGCTCGCACCCTGCCCTTCAGCCGTTCGTTTTTATCTAGGTTTGACCCATCAGCACCATCACCAACTAATCACATGTTCAGCTGCCCGGCTGGTGGTTTCGCTTCAGTTTAGGTAAGGTTCGGTTCAAGTGGCTATCGAGTAGTGTTGATATCACTTCGATTTCTGTATAAATATTTCATTAGATGACTTATTTCGTTGTCGGCTAACTTACACGCTCTGGCCAAGTTGGAGCGGTCACATACAAGATGAGAGACCATTTTTTACTCGTGATCCATGTCTACTAAAGGCAGCTCCCAGCCTCGTCGGTGGTTATTCTCTTTATTCAAGCGGGGATATTTTAAGACTCCTACAGGCTTCGAGACGCTCGATCTTTTGAGACTTCTTCCGCACCTATTATAATACTGCAACTTTTTATATATATGTACATATTTATGTTATCAATTATAAAACATTTTCATTAAATTTGTACAAAAAAAGAATCACATAAAAATAGGAATAAAAGGAGTTAAAAAAATCTAGAAAAAAAGTACATATTCACACAGCTGTCTGAGGCAGGCAAAATGGTATTTGTTAGTACAAAAAAAAGACATTCGAGAGGGTGAGGGAGAGCGAGAAAGAGATTATACAAAAATTGTGTATGTATGCATATAAAGAATATTTACAATTCAACTTCGTGTATGTACATATGAATGTATGTATTTACATAGGTGTGAATTTTAAAATTTTAGTAGAAAAAAGTGCGAAAAGATGGCAAAAAACTTTTTTTAAGGGATTTGAGGAAAACATCTTTTTTTTTTCTTATAAAAACTATTATAAAAGTGAATTTTTCACATTACTTTTACGCTTTAACCGCTGTGAGTGAGTGGAGTATTGAATTTATGAGCAGCTGCAAAAAGCTGTGCAGATAGAGAAATATGCTGGCAACGTTGCTGTATCCTTGACTTGCTGTTGGCCAGGAGAAATATACGAGTATGTACGTGTATGTGCCAGTACGTGCTAAGTAGCCTTATGCTATATTTTCTTATTGCGTAGTTTCCTTGCTGGGACACAGGGCAAGTTGACTCAATATTTTTGACTTTATTTTTCTAGTTTTTGGTTATTTTTTTCTTTCAAGCTTTTTCAGCTCTTCCTGCATTTGTCAATCGCCACCACCTCAATTTCGATTCTTGTTTTTTTTTTGCAAAATTTGTGCTTTTGTGTTGAAAAAGAAAATAAATAAATTTTGTCTCAATTTAAGAGGTAGCAAATCAAGCTTTCGGCAAATTAAATAAGCAAACACAAAATTCTTTTTTTTTATTTTTGTTTTCTTATTTCTTTCTTCGCTCGCGAAATTACGAAATTTACTGCGTTAATAATTATTTTTCTTAGCTTTCACTTTTTAATTTGTAAAAATTCAATATTTTTTCTCTATATATATATATTTCTGGTACTTTTTTTATTGTTGTTTTTGTCTACGTTTACAACTACCGTACGCGTTGTGTATGCAACCGTTGCGAGCAAAGGACACTTTTAGTCTGTTGCCTGCACAATTTGAGAAAGCTTCGTTTCGCTTGTTGTGTCTATATCAAAAGGAGTTGGCTCGCTCGGCTGTCGTATGTGCGTATGAGGGTGTATGGGAATTTCTCGATTGATTATATAAGGTTTACATATGCGAGTTTTTGTTGTTTTGTTGTTTTTCTTTTTAAATTTTTTTTTTTCGGAACTAAGCCAGCGACTATAGAGATCTTTTCTAGAATCGACCTTGGGGTATCGCAAAGGTCGGAATTCATTTTCTCGCTCTTGTCTTGACTCCTATGGGTTTATTTTGCTATGTACAGAGGCCGTCCTGTCTCTAGTTTTGGTGTAATTTTGGTTTTTTTCATGTCTCCGGTATCTTTCCGATTATTTTGTGTGCCTCTGCTCCTCTGCTTTTCAGCGTGTCTCTGCGATGGTTCTCTTCTCTCTTTCCCAACTGATTGAAATCTTACTTACTTGCTTTACAGGCGTAAACACCGCTTCCACGATTATAGCCGATCTAACAACACTGCGCCATTCGTTTCTTTCTTTTGCTGTTTGGCGCCAATTGCAAATACCAACTACAGCCACGTCCTTCTCTACCTGATCTTTCCAACGGAGTGGAGGCCTTCACTTCCTCTACTTCCAACGGCGAGTACTGCATCGAAAACTTTCAAATCTGGAGTACTCGCATGCATCCGGACCACATGACCGTTCTGTCGAAAACTCCTAACGCCGACTCATCAGATGTTGTCATCGTACATGCTTTCGCACCATATAGCAGGACGGGAACGATGAGGGACTTGTAGAATTTGGTATTTGTTCGCCAAGAGAGCACTTGATGACAGGAGATATTGCGTCTTGTCCTCATTCACTACAAGACCCATTCGCTTCTCTTCTTTACAAGCCTGGAGAAAGCATAACTAACAGCCCGGTTGATAATGTCAATATCATTTTGCTTTGCTGTGTGCCTCTTTCTTCGCTTTGTGGGCAATCGTCCGTTTTGTCTCGGCTTCTATATTCATCCTTATCCGCCGGTAATTTGTAATGATGTCCAGAATCTCGTCCATCTCCGATGCTTCACTTTTAATGTCGAGCGTTTTGTTTTGCGTTTGGTCGATTTATCTGTTGTGCTTCTTTTCCTGCTGTTCAATTCTTCATGCTGAACTCCTACCGCGGGAACTCAGTGTCTGCGGCGTTTTTGCTGTTGCAAAGTGGCGGGCCGAGTGAGGAGCAGGTGTGCCTCTTGTTGCTCCTGATATACGGACGCATTCACGATCGCTTGATACAGCGCAGGCAACTAATTCTGTCTTCAATTTAAACTCCCTGACCAATATGCGGGAAGTAGCTAGCTCCTGATACACAACTTGATTAAAACTTCGGTTAATCAAGCTCATATTAGCTCTCCAAAAGAAAGCAACAGAAATTGCCAGCAGATAACTTGATGATTTCCAGTACTTCACGACGTGAACCGGTCTTATTTAAACTACAACACCCGAACCGAGCATGGAGAAACACCGATGGACAGACCATCAGCCGAAGCGGGTACAGTCGTGGCTTTAGATTTATTGGACCGCACTTTCTCGCATTTACTTAGAAGAGATGTTCCCTACTGCTCATTTTCCCTCTGGCATGGGCAGGTATTCCCTCGAGTTAGCCTCGTAAGGATTGTGGTTGCGTATTTCGCGCCGGTATCTAATTAACTCATCACAAATTCACAGTACATTTCGAGTGTTTTAAGCCAGTTTTGGTCGAGCGCTTATTTTCAATATAAACAAAATTCTTAAACCATTTTAATAATCTCTCATATGTAAACCCAAAAAAAGCACTTGCAACATTTAGACGCGCGCAGTAGTCATGAGTGCGAGTATTTTGCAATCGATAAATTTGAGGGTAGTGAGAGCCATCGAATATTTCAAATAACTATAAAGAAGATAAACAACAACGATACTGGCTTAATATTGTCAACAAACGAACGCAATTACTTGTGCTGAGTGTAGAGCATGAGAGAAAGAGAAAAAGAGAGATAGAGATAGAGAGAGAGCGAGTTTAAAGAGAGCGGAAACTTCTGTAGCAATAAACCGTCCAAAGTCAGAGCTGCAACAGTTTGTTGGAGGCACGTATACTTTCAATGCAGCAAGTACAATTTTTATGCATACATACATATGTGTGAATAACTGTAAAAGCCGACACATACATATGTGTGCCCCCTTTGCCCTTGAAACTTTGAAGCTCTCCTTGAGGCGTTTAATAATGACCTCGAATGTTTTTCTAACATATGGCAGATTTTTTTTTCAAGAATTTATTTAAACAAGGAATTTCCTTACTTAGAAATATTTTAAAATTTAGAAAATTAAATGTTTAGAGATATGCATTTTGACAAAATAAATTTAAAAAAAAAGTTTAAGCCCTTTAAAAAACTTGTTTTTAATTTAGCAAAAATTTAATAAATAAAAAAGAAAAAAAAAACAGAATGAAATTTAAAAAGGAAAATAAAATTAAAATAAAATTTTTTTGAGCTTGAAATTTTCAAATTTTGAAATAATAAGCTGTAAAAAATACTAAAATCTTTATAAAGCTGTTTATTTAGTAAAAATTTTAATAATAAAAAAAATCTTAAATTTTATCAGTTTTAAATATTCAAAAATTAGTTTTTTATTTAGCAAAAATTTGAATTAAAAACAAAACAACAAAATTAAAAAAAAATTGAAATTCAAACTTTTTTTAAATTTCAAAATTTTAATCAAAAAATTGATTTCTTAAAAATATTTAAATATTTAAATAAAGCAAATATTAAATAGTTTAAATTAAGAAAAAATAAGCTCCAAAAAATGAAAATCTTTATAAGGCTGGTTTTTTTAGTAAAAATTTTTAGTAAAAAAAACAAACAAAAACAAAGATAAAAAACACAATATATCTAAAAATTAATAGAAATTAATAAAAACAATTATTTTAATTTTTAATTAAAAAAATTTAAAAACTTTTATTTTATTCTAATATATATTATTTTTATTTTTTTTGTTGAGTACAAAAGCAGCATTATTAATTTATTTATTTATTTCTCAGCCCCCTTATAGTAATCTTCATACTCGATGTAAACATATCCTTTTAAAAATTCATTACATTTATATTAATATTTCATTTGAAATCCTCCAAATTTCATAACTAAATAAAGTTGTTTGTATGCAGCTTTATATAGATATGTACATGTAAATTTCAAAATATATAAACATAACCGCCATATGTTTACCTTTATCATCCCTTCAGATACGCATCCGCAATTCAGCCTAACCTCACTCTCTATAAACAATCATACTCACTGAATTCTTTGCCATTTCTCTCTATAAGTTTCCTACAATTTTCAACTTTCTCTCTCGCCTTCTCTCTGCTCTCAAGTGTAACCAACTGTAAGCTGTTTGTAACTGTTTGCTCATCGAAAAAAGGTGATTACTTTTATTTATTTTTTTCCTAACCTAACAAACGTCATTTTACAGTTTGACCCATCTACATGTTTTCTTTCTTATATGTATTCACTCCGCAATTCCTTTTTGATTGTGTCCTTCCCACTGCGCGCGCATTAAAATGTTTATAAACATTAATCTTTTGTCAGTGAGCAACGTGAACTTAGCTGCGGTTGGGAGTTAATTGGAAATTTAACATACAAATTGACAGCAAATTGACAGCTGAAAATTTTTATTTTCTTTCTTACTCTTTTCTTTTATTTTCTTCGCTTCTCTTTACTTAATAATTTATTTATATTCTAGACCATGCCAGTGAGTTCCTCAAATGTATGAATATAACTTTCTAACGGAAGTCACGAAGTAATTCAATTTCTTCGACACTTGAAACCGAATCACACTGTAAACAAACCGTTGATGCCACCGAAATTTCTGTCAACAAAGAATAAGGTTACGAGCAACGGTAATGTGTGATCATTTTCATTCTCAAGATCGGCACAACCACAAATGTGTGGACATACCTACGTGTGTATATACGAAGCTGTCATTTTGACATGTGTCACGGCGGGTAGTCCACTTGAGCCACATTTCTTTACTGCTGAAAATGCATAAATTATTATTTTTTGCTTTGGTATCGCATAACCAAGAAAATTGATACCCTCGGCGATTGAATGCTACTGATCAATACTCAATTATGAGGTGACAGTTGAAGAAAACTAAAAATAAATATAATACAAGAATTTTATTAAATGAAAATATATGGAAAAAAATTAAACAAAAAATATGTAATTAATTGAAATAAAAATAAAAGAAAAAGCTAAAAGTTTTTAAATTAGAAAACTATTAAATGTAATGAAAAAAGTTAAAAAAAAATAAAATAATTAAATAAAAATAAATAAATTAAATTACTTAAAGAAATTTAGTTGAAAAATTTTATATACAACTATTGAGTAAGCTAAATCAAATGGTTTAAATAAAACGAAATTAAATATAAAAATTAAATTAAATCGATTAATTAAAATTAACTTAGAAGAAAATATATTAAAAACACATATATAAAAATATAAAATTAAAATAAAAAAATAATTAAAATCAAAATTAAAATTAAAATTAAACAAATTAAAATTAAAAATAAAATAAAAATATAAATCAAATTATAAATCAAATAAATAAAATTAAATTCAAAGTACTAAAAAAAGAATAATAAATAAAATGAAAAAATAAAATTTAGATTAAAATTGCAAACATATTTTAAATATGATAAAATAAAACAATTAAAAAACGTGAAATTAAAAAAATTTAAAGAAATTGTATTAAAATATACTGTATGAAATTAAAATAATATAAAAATAAAGTAAATGGAAAAAAATGGATTAAAATTAAAAGAATTAAATAAATTTAAATAAATTAAAGAAAAATAATTGGATAAATTAAAAAATATAAATAAAAATAAAAGTTTGATAGTAAAAAATTTGAATAAAATAAAAAAATTAAACTAAATAAAATTTAAATAAAACTTTTTAGGTGTACAACTTTACTTCCGCCGTTTTTTTTCCAAAAAAAAAGATTTTGTGCGAAAAATTGATTACAGATATATTATTCAAAGTATTGTCCTTCGCTAGCGACAACTTTCTCCCATCTTTCCGGCAAATTTTCGTATCCCGGCTCGAAAAAAGGAGTCCTCTTTTGACGCTATCCATGAAGCAATTCATTTTTCCAATTCCTCGAAGGATTGAAAATGTTGATCTGTGCCATCGGACGGAATAAGTGGAAGTCAGAAGGGGCGACATCTGGGGAATACAGCTAGTGGGGCAAGACTTCCCATTTCAGTGTTTCCAGGTGCTTTTTGACCACTTTAGCGACGTGAGGCCGAGCATTGTCATGTTGGAGGATGACTTTGCCATGCCGCTCTTGATATCGTGGCCGCTTTTCTTTTAGCGCGCGACTAAGGCGCATCAGTTGCGTTCGGTAGCGATCTCCTGTGATGGTTTTACCCGGTTTTAAGAGCTCGTAATAAGTCATACCAAGCTGATCCCACCAAATACGAATCATAACCTTGGCGCCGTGAATATTCGGTTTTGATGATTTTCTGCGTTTAGGATTATCGTATCGAACCCACTTTTCATCACCGTAGGTTTCTGAGAGCATTCGATGCGCTTCAGCTGCATTTTTTTTCGAATTGTAACAGAAAAGTAAAACTTCCCGCAAATGGCGAGAATTAGGCACATAAACGGACATTTTCGAGCGGGAATAATACAAAAACAAGAACAACTGTCACTGAAACGGCGATGATATTTCGTTAGGCTCTGTCTACACTCACTTTAAAGGCATAATCATCTATGTATTTCAACCAGCCTCAGTCGGCACAGCCACCTAACGGAAACCGGCGGAAGCAAAGTTGTACACCTGATAATATAAAACGATTATGTAAAAAGAAACAAAAGTTAAGCCGGGCGTTGATCGCTTTTGTCCGCTTTTCACGCAATGCGCGGTTCAAACGCATTAAAGCTCCGCATCAATGGTCCCGTCTAGTTTTAACAGCATTCCTCATCTTCAAACTTTTTAGATTGATTAGGACGCTCTTTGTCTTGGACGTAAAAATCAACAGTGTTGGAGTGTCGAAACTATTCTCTGCATGACTTATGGGTCAGAATTTAGTCCACATAAACTTCCTGCAGAATTCGATGGGCTCCAACGGCACTTTTCTTCCAATTAGAAATGAAAACTCACAACATTCCGCCTATGCTGTTTGTTTAGCACAACTCCGTATATTTTCGAAGAGGGGAAAAAATGCAATGTTCTTATCAGAAACAGACGCCGATGCACTTTAATTATCGTTGAGAATTGAAATAATTGGTGGGTTAGTTGGAAGAGTAAGGCAAGCCGTCGCACCTAAGCAAGTGAATATCCTCATTGTACACCCTAGTGTATCCCAACTAGTCGTTTGTGAAAAGCTTGCTCCGTGAGGTATAGCGCTAGGATCATCGTGGAAGATATGACGTCTCGATCATCTGAGGGTCGGACACTCGCAAAGGTAGTGATCCAGCGTTTCGTCATCTTTTGTGCGCCCGCTGCACAACGAAGATTCCATCTTCCCTAACTTTTGGTGACGATATCTCAGAGGTAGATGCCCCGTTTGTGCATACACCCATAAGAATGATAAGTTCTCTTTCTCTATATTCATAAAGTAAACCAAAATATATTTAAATGGGTTAAATTAAATGAAATTAAAATAAAATAGATTGTGGTAAGTTTAAATTAATTTAAACTAAATCAAGTAAAAAGGTAAAAAAATTAAATTAAATAAAAAAAATTAATAGAAAAATAAACAAATTAAAATAAAATAAATTAATTTACAACAACAAGCAGAAATAGAACAAAGTATAATTTAATAAAATCAATCAAATTTTTGCCAAAGCGTTCACCATCACCTACCCACTGTGCTGCACGCGCCAGTAAGTTCCTGTCGCAAAAAACATGCAACACAGTGTTACATACACATATACATATATCTCATCCTACATAATATATATGTACATATATATGTATGCTGCTGATGCTAATTTCTTTTTGCTCATTCATTCTTGATTTAATGACATTATAGACGCCACACGCCTGCCCGCCCGCTGTGCAAATGACACAACAACATAAAGACTAACGTATGTGTGAATATGCTCGTAAGTACATATGTAGTATGCACATAATACAATCAACACGATCAACGAAAGTATACGTATGACAACAACAACAAATTGCCACACATAAATAACATTTTTGTTCTTGGTGGAGAAGTCAAGTAGTGTGCAGACGTACATACATACAAGACAAGAATTGAAAAGGGTGTTTTTCTTATGTACGTGCGACTTGCTAGTGGACTGTCAATGCGTACGTCTACCACTCGATCAGATGTAGCACATACAAGTCTGTGTATATAAATATTTATATGCATTTTAGTTTCGAGTTTCAAGGTTTAAGACCTGCATTGTAGACGAAACTCTCGGTTTCATTTGAAATCTTTTCCGCTAACATCTTTTAAATGACTCGAAGAACCCATAGACATTCCTCGTGGCCTGATACTAATATCGGCAGTGTTGAATTTAGTCAAAATTCAAAACACGCAAGAAAAAGTATTATGTAAGCTACGGAACGCTAATTCAGGAGAGAAATCCATATTTTCTCCCATGAACTACATATTACTGGGCACTGTGAATCTAGGAAGTCACATACGAAGTACTAGAAACTCTTCCACATGCGAGGTATTCCAGCTTCACTCTACGTTTGTCTAATAAGCCACTGAGCTACTCCCTTCTCGGTTGCTTTCTTCGTCTGGGGCGTCATCATTGATCCTTAAACATCACGAAAACGTCACTTGGATTCATCAAACAGTTGTACATACATACGAGTACAAACACTCAAACATATATAGTAATGAACACAAATTTATTTTCTCAACGTCATTAAAATATGTACAAAGGTACATATGTATATGCGTGGGTGTGTGTTTATAAATATCTACACTGCGATGTGTGTTTACCCCTAGTTGTGGCGTGGCAAAAAACAGCGGGGCGACCAAAACAAATCTTGGTTCTCAAGATCTGTCTTACTCGTTGCTCTGCTACTTTGTGTTTTCTTATGAGCATATTTTTTTTTTCTCTGAATTCATTTATTTTTTCCATCTCATATTTTCCTAACTCTTCAGCCATCGGCGAGGGTGGCTTTTGTGCGACAAGTGCACACAGTATTTTTTCAATATTTTTAGTTTTCATTTTCATATTTCTGTTTTTGCTTTTCGAGTGCGCAAATCTCATTCTCTATCGCATTCGCTGGCTGAAAATTCTAAATTTCCGTGAAGCCAGTCAATCAGTCAAGGAGACAAAGTTTCTACGTTCGGTCGTTGTTAGTGTGCGAGATCACGGTATTCAGTTTGCAATTAGCGGTCTTGCTATTCGGGCGCGTCAGAAGCGTTTGTTTTAAAAATTAAAGTGAATACAAATATTAATAAAAATTTCAGATATACTGAACAAACAAATTTTTGGTAAACTAAAGTCAATAAAATAAGTTTAAGTAAAATTTAGTAAAATAAAAAAAAAAATTAAACAAAACAACTTCGAGTGAAACAAAATTAAATAAAAATAATATTAAATCGTAATAAATTCAAACTAAAATAAATTAACTAAAAAAATAAGACAAAAACAATTAATAAACTCAAATAAAATTAAATAAAATAAAACTGAAAAAATATAATAAAAATTAAATAAATTTTATAATATAAAATGAAATAAAAAGTTAAATAAAATAAACTCAAATAAATTTAAATCAAATAATAAAATAAAAATAAAATAATAGGAAAGAGGTAACTTAAAATAAAATTAAAATAAGTAAAATAAATTAAGGAGAAATAAAGTAAAACTGTGAAGTTAATTAAAAAAAAAATTAAATAAAATAAAATAAAATTAAAGAAAATTAAATTCAATGCAATTAGAAATTATAATAAGATAAAATCAATTTGAAAAAAATTAAATTAAAAAAAAATAAATCAAATTAAAAAATTTGTTTGAAATAAAAAGAAACAAAGTCACTTAAAATAAATTAAAGAAAGTAAAACAGAATAAAATGAAATAAATATAAAAATGTAAAAAATAAAAAACTAAATACATAATAATGAAATATAACAAAAAAAAAAATAAATTGAAACATAAATACAATAAAATCAAATGAAATAATCTAAATTAAAATTAACTAAAATAAAACAAAATAAACTAATGTAAAAATAAATAAAACAAAATATTATAAAAAAAATCAAAAAAAATAAAATAAAATAATACAAAATAAACTAAAATAAAATAAAGTAACATTAAATAAAATAAAATAATATAAAATAAAAAATATAAAATAAAATAAAATAAAAAAATAAAATAAAATAAAATAAAATAAAACAAAATAAATAAAACAAAATAAATAAAATGAAATAAAATTATATTCAATGAAATAATATTAAATGAAATGCAATGAAATAAAAACAAAGGAAATTAAGTAAAATGAAACAGAATAAAATAAAATAAAATAAATTAATAAAGTTAAATAAAATAAAATAGAACAAAAAACTAAGGATAAAATAGGTAAAAGAAAATGAAAATTTTTCATTTATATAATTTAAATTAAACAAATATATTAAAATAAAATTTAATATGATTAGAAAAATTTAGATATATTTTTATTTAATTTACATTCATGAGTTAAATAAAACAAAATATTTAAAGAAATAAAAAATATATTTTAAGTAAAATAATTTTGAAATAATTACAAAAAAAAAAATGAAATAAGGCAAAGTAAATACACGTTATAATAATATAAATATTTTTAGAGAAAAATTCAAGAAAAAAGGTAAAATAATAACTAAATTAAAAATAAAATTAAATTTAAAAAAAAATTAATTAAATATCAGAAATAAAATTGGTTAATAAAAATATATTTTTATTGTATTAAATACGCAAAAAATTCCAAACATTTTTCAGAAAACAATTTCGCACAACAAGCACTAAAGTGGATTTATTTTTAATACAATTGTGAGCATTGTTAAAGTGTTTATATGCAATAGTGTATGTTTGCAAGTCTATTTATGTGTAAATTTGTATTAAATTAAATCGCCGGTTGCAGTTTATACTGGACTTTAAGAAATCAGCTCCCTCAAAGTAAGTATGTAATGACAAAAGTATGCATAGATACGTATGAAAGTGCATGAAATACATACACACATACAAATACATAACTAAATCCATTCATATAGTTTAATTCATACATATATATAAGCACGTTGTGGGCAACTGAAAAGACCGACGACTACGGTGTTGTCGTCATTGTCTTTTATTACTGATCTTCTCTCTCTTGCGCGAAAAAAGGGTAAGTGGCGAAGCGCTTTAAAATCACTTAATTTTATTATCATTTAAATCGGAGAAAGCGAAAATAAATCTGCAAAATTTTTTAAATTCTCAAGTGAACCTTGAACGACAAGGAGACGTGTATATCAAGTATCAAGTGTATACGTATGTATATTTACATATATATCTCTCACTTATGATTTATGTATGTAATTTTGTGTGGTCAGACACGCGTTGAAAATTGCTGCCGTATTTTTTGCTGGAATTCTCATTTTTTACGGGTTATTTTTGTACCTAAAACGAGTGCCACACTTAAGTAAATAAAGTTTGGAGGTAACAAAAATGATCGAGCGCTCAGAAGACAGCCTTCATTCATTATACTTTCATGATTAGTTTTACTTTATGAGCAAAGTTGCTGTGAACGGATGAGGCTTGACGGGGTCCTATGCGCAATTGGGAAGAGATTTTGGCCGCCATTCATCTGGGAGATCCCATAAATTATTATTGTGCCTATATCTAGCTCAAGTTAGTCATGATTTCTAGTGCGATTTAGATCAGACATCCATAGCATAAACAACTCAATGCAAAAAAAAAATGATTCTGCAACATTTCGCTTGTTTAAGCTCAACGTTTGATGAAAATGATGGATCGCGAAGCCTTTTTGTCGCCCAATGAAATTCAGCTTTCACGCCGGAGTTTTCCCAAATGTTCTCACACTGTCCAATTTCGCCAGATTCCGAATTATGGTTGCCAGGAGTACCAGATTCAAGTGCAAAAAATATTCATCCAGCTATAATTGAATATTTTGTGCCCAAATCAATAGATGGAAAACATGCATTCAGTGTCAAAGATCGCCGCGGGCTACTCCCCTACCTTGTAACCAAGATATTTATTTTTCGGCTCTGTGCCGCTAATGCTCTGCAATAAGCATCGGGAAGGTTGAATATCGAAAAAGTACAATCACAACCGACAACTAAATAGTTTTTGTCCGATTTGCACTCCCGCTCTCTGAGAGCACTTACTAACAACTTGGTATAAGGAAGGCATTTAGAGAGGTGTTTTTGATCCTAACTCTTTTCTCCTCTCTATCTCTTTTTCTTTTTCTCTCTGTCTATCTCTCTCTCTCTCTCTCTCTCTCTGTCTATGTTTCCTTATATATCTCTACCTTTCTCTGTCTATCTCTTTCTATCTCTCTCTCTCTCTCTATGTTTCCTTATATATCTCTACCTCCCTCTGTCTATCTCTTTCTCTCTCTTTCTTTCTCTCTCTCTCTCTCTCTCTCTCTATCTATCAAATTTGCCTCCAAACATTATAATTTCGAGTTTTTTCCATAAATTCCGAGGGTTTTGGCCTATAAAAGACAGAGTTTCGTTTATTCTGTGCCCATTTGATTGAGAGCTTTAGTTTAAACCCTTCTCATAATCAAAATAAAGGTTACCTTGAGCCTAAATGTATGCAGTGAATCAATTATTTCAAACCGTATTTCGAACTTGTACATAATTTTTGGCGAAGTATTTATCGATAAGTTTTGTGAGAAATATCAGAATAGGAGTGTATCCATTTGATTGACCTTTACAAATTTTCAGCACTGCTAATTACTTTCCTTTTTTTTTGAAATTCTCCTCAATAATTAGCTACTACTAATCGATAGATCACTTAAACGTCACTTTTTACTGCTCACAATTTCAAAAACTATAAATATTTTATGGCATTTGAAAAGTACATAAATTATATTTTTCGCAAGTAACTGCATTATTTGTATATCTAAACATTTTTTGATCTTAGCCAGATGTTCAATTGAAATTTTCCCAATTTCCACTCGTAGGAGCCTAAAGAAACCCATTTGCTTGGGAAAACTACAATTAGTGCTCACATAATGAAAGTAATAAAAATAATAACAACAACAATAACAATTTAAGAGTCATAATTTAATTAAAAGCAAAAATACATGAAAATGGTGTGGAAATTTTTAGCGCCGAAATGCAGAACCTAAAAGCGAAGAGATGTTCGAGAGTGCGCTGCTGTTGATCACATGTATAGGCGGTCTAGTGTATATTTTTCTATTTTCCTCTTCATGCACAAATCGCACGGTATATACGTATATATATTTATGCGAAAATTTTCTCGATCGTACACAGTATTTACGACACAAAATCGTCAGCGTCTATATTTTTTTTGCGTTTATTTATTTTTAGACGTCACCACAGACAAATATTCAAGCCTGCCACAGCAGCCATACAAACATAAGTGTATAGAAAAAAGAAAACCAAAAAAAAAGAAAGCAAAAAAAAAAAAAGATGTGAGTACTTAATACACACACTAATAGCTTGTGGCTCTTTTACCGGAAGTGTTGATATTTAAATTGAAAAGTAGAAAAATAAATAAAAAAAATGAATTTAAAATATTATTTTATTTTATTTTATTTTATTTTATTTTATTTTATTTTATTTTATTTTATTTTATTTTATTTTATTTTATTTTATTTTATTTTATTTTATTTTATTTTATTTTATTTTATTTTATTTTATTTTTTCATTTACATAGATTTCTTTGATTAATTTCGTATAAGAAGTGCAATCAAAATCCGACTGCGCTGTTGCGTTGGTCAAATGCAAGAGGCACGCGTCAATCGGTAAGAAAATAAGGAGTAGTGAAGCTCGAGAAAGCAAGTTGAGGCCAGCATAATTATTTGTTTTGAAAAAAAAATGAGTGAAGTTAGCAGTTAAGCACACATAACAAGCAGTAGGATGGTATACAAGACTGCAATCAGGATAGGATTGTGCAAGTCACATACGCACCCACACATACATAGCGACACAAAAATGTGCAAATGCGTACCTCAAATAACCTGTGACCTATGACACTGTGAAATGGGAGCAGAAAACGTAGTAGTGATTTATAAAAAAATAAACAAGAGTACGGCTGAGGGTTGAAATTCACCCTGTAGGGATAGAGAGGGATTGATGTGTGCATGAAATAAGCGAAGTTGTAATGGGATAAGACTAAAGTTTAGCGGAAATGGCGATAGAGGTGACAGCCTAACGAGTTAAAGTACAAAAAAATAGTAATAATTTGCAGCGAAATTTCCTAGTAGTTTTTTTATCAAAATCGCAGATGTTAAGATTAGTAGGCAGCTCAATGATGGCAGGGCTACCTTGAATTTAAAATTTAAAATAGTTAATGAGAGAACAGTAAAATATAGAAAAATATTAGTGAGAAGTTTTCTTTTACTTTCCACCATTAAAAACATAATTTTTTCAAAAAGTGGCAAGCAAATCTCCTTTCCATTATACACTCGCTAGGCTATGTCCTCTCAACCACAATAAAGCTACCAACCTTGTTTATTACATCCATAGCTCAATGGCAATGCCAACAGCCAGCGGCACGCAGTTCGCTCGCTGCCTTGTCGCATCCGCAGGATATCAAATTTTTTTTTTTTTGTTGTTTTGCCCGCTTACAAATAGGGCTGAGCTGGTAGCAAGCAAATTATACACAATTTGTAAATGCTGCAAATGAGGGTGACTGTTAATGAGTGACGAGATTTGTAAAGATATATTGTTGCTGTTTTTGTTGTTAAGAGAGCGAACATTTTCGCATTTGCTTCTGTTTGTTTACATTCTAAGTGAATAATTTAGTGGGAGAGAATGCAAATGTGTGGAGTATAAAGCATAAAGCGGTGGAATTTGTATGTACATTTGTATAAAAAAGGAACAGGAAATAGAAAAAACAATAAATATGTTGAAAACTATAAACAATTTTATGATAATTAATTATTAAATAATTTTTAAAAATAAAATAAAAAAAATTTTTTAAGCGTATGGAGGGACTTACGGTTTTTTCGAAGCCACCGCTGTCCGGCTGATGCATTTTTAAGAAGAGAATTTTTTGTATGCTATAAATACACCCGAACGGGTGAACATTTCCTACTCTTCCAAGAATTTTTGGTTGATCACCTTCTTGTATGGTAGTTGGGTTCTCTCTTACTCTCAGTGCCATTGAAGAGGACAGAATCCCTTCTAGCCTTGGAGTTCATCAATCTAAGCCTTGGAATTCTCTCTTGAATTACTCTCGGATGAACAACCCTTGACCGGATGTATTTCCACATGTCATTCTGCTATACAGATTTGACTGTCATGAGACTAGGTGTTTGAAAATTTAACTACTCTCGCAACAATTAAAGACCTGTACATTTTGGATCGCTCATGAATCCCATTCCGCTTCACAGTACAGAAACGTGTCCGATGTTAACATTCTGTGAGTTGACTTTGAGAGTTCTAGCGCATGAGCAGAAGCAGAGGAGGAGCAGATATTTATTACAGTACAAGGATCAACTGGATTAGGAATTCAAAGTGTCTTCAATTGTCGCCGAAAGGCTTCAAATGAAAAAAATTGTGAGCTGAGCTCGTTATAAGCGCTAAGGTGATGTCTGCTTCATGAAAAAGCAGAGGAAAAACTTTATAGGTGTGTACGAGAACTGCTAGGCCCTAGATCTTAACTTAGGTTAGGGTCAATGGTCTTCCTCCTCTAGGTTTTTGTTAGAATCGAGCTTTTATATAATTGTCCATAAAGAGAAACACTTTTGTATGGTCAACTGGATGGGTTATCTATCTATCTCTCTATCTATCTTCTAGAGACCTTTTTTCGGTTTCATATTCTGATATCTCATTCCGAACTGATATGGAGCGGAAGAGAAGTCTGTATGTGGCAGCTGAGGATAAGCACGTTAACTAGCTCTCTAAGTAGACGGAGACTGTCGTACCATTCCAAAAGCTCTTTTTGTGTGCAGGGTGGGTTAATGAGTCGATTGTGGGTTT